TGGCTAGCAAATAACCTAGGAAGCAGGGGTTTTTTTTTCGTTTTTCACTACTCGGATTTCCAGAGCTAGTTTTTTGGGAACTCTGAAAATCAGGGTACATCCTGAGCGTTGCTCTGATTTGTCAGAGAAAACGTATCTTCTGAAAAAAAAACCCTGCACAATCAGTGCAACTCTATTCCCCACTCTGAATGTTCTTGCCAAGTATTGAACCTGCGCCTGTGCGGTCAACAAAATTGGGAATACCGCTGTGCTACGCGAGACGACATTTAATTCTCATTATAAATATATAAAGGAAGTCTTTCAACAAGACCATCTTCCAGCTGAATTCTCGCGGGAGCATGGTCAAAGCGCCTGTACCCTGTACAGAGAAAAGTGTACCCGACAAGAGAATACACTGACGCTTCAGAGTAGCTAAAAACAACACCCTGGCAAATCAGAGAAAATCTTCCTTTGAAAATACTTACCCAGAGACATCAGAGTGACCCCCTCAAAACCAATCTGATTTTCAGAGAAACAGAGTAATTTACTCTGATAAAAAAAGGCCTGCTAGGAAGCCAATCTACCGGTAGTACGCTTCGGCCAAGCCAGTGTGTTTAAATTATTTTATGTAAAATAATGGTACGCTCATGCACAGTACCCTGGTTTGCTTCTCAAAAACAAATCTACATTACTGCAGCAACTAATTCTCATAGAGTTTTACATTACATTACAGCATAGAACACCTCCCAGTATATTTTTAGCAGATGCTGTTTCGGCTGCTCGGTCCTTGCCAACTGTATCATGTAGTTCTTTCAAGAAAGCATCCCGTCGCCCTTCCTATATTTCTTCCGATTGCCCACTTCGTTGCCTTCGAGCTCGCCCCGAATCGGCTTCTCGTCCCCCTTCCTTTCTCCCTTCCTCGTGCCCAATTCGTCGCCTTCGCGCTCGCCCCGAATCGCCTCTCGTCGTCCTTGCTATCTCCCTTCCGTGTGCCCAATTCGTCGCCGACGCGCTCGTCTTTAGTCGCCCTTCCTCTCTTCTCTCTCACGAGCCACCTCAATTTTCTTCATTGTGTCGCGCTCTCTGTAAATCGCTCTCCCGTCGCCCTTCCTATCTCCCTTCACATCGCCCATCTCGTCGCCCTCCTTGTCCCCGCTCACATCACCCACCTCGTCGCCCTCTCACTCGCCTCCAATCGCCGCGATCGCCTCGCGATCTCCTCTCCCATCCCGTCGCCCTGCCCTTCTCCTTCGCCCTCACCGACGCCATGTCCCATCCCTTCTCGTCGCCCTCACATCTCTTTCCACTTATCGTCACTTCACTTTCTTCCGCCCCTTTCGATCGCGCTCACGTTCTCCCCTACCTTCCCGCCTTCCTAGTGTTCTCCTCTCCCCTTCCGTCACCCTTCCTCTCTCCGCTGCCCTCCCGTCGCCTTCGGTGTCTTCGCTGCCCTTCCGTCGTTATTCATGTACACCCTCCCCTCCCGTCGCCCTTGTTGACCCCGCTCCCTGCATCACGTCGTTCCTCCTCTCTCCCCTGCCGTCCCGTCGCCCCCTTGTCCCCACTCCCTTCTCTTCGTTCTTGCTGTCGCCCAATCAACAATCCCCACGCCATTCATCTCTTCCCATTGCAATCGTTCTCCTTCATATTTTTTATTTCATTCTATTTTTTCCTTTTTTGTTTTCCGCGCGATTTTGCCTGTGTGTGCACTGGGTCTTGCCTGATTTTGCTGTGTGTGCACAGGATTTTGTCTGATTTGGCATGTGTGTGCGCTGGATTTTGCCTGTGAGCGCTGGATTGTGCCTGTGTGTGCGCTGGATTTTGCATTGCTGATTTCAAGGCTAAGTCACGAGCACGACTCCTGTGAATACATTCACTCACATTCAACCTTGCGCCAAATTCGCACGCCAATGTGGGTGGAAGTCGCCACCAATCAGATTTGTATACAAGTTCCAAATATTCGCCGTTCACATCGAGACCCTCCTGTAATGGAAAAATAAAAACGCAGAGCACTTCCGACGTTCCAAACCTTCCAAAAAAACTTGTGTTTTCAAGTGGACCCAACTAGAAGGGGGGGGTCACTATTTTAGCTGCTGGCTACGTCGAGCTCCAGCATAGTGATTATACCGTTGGTCCAACCGTTTTCTCATACATCCATAGCCATTTCCGCTATGGAGTCTCGCACACACATCGACAGTCTCTCGGACGATCTTCTAGTAAAAGTTCTACGGCAATCCGCGAAGCCTCATTTCCGCAAACCTGAAACCAGCGAGGCTTTTTGGGCCTCCTTGGACTTGGAGACGACGGACATCCGTGGAAATCGCGACTTGATTAAAATGCAATACGATACACCTCTACCGACTCCTCTGGCAACTGAATCTGCTCCCATCAATTTCCTCCTCGCGTCCGTCTGCCGTCGCTGGCGGCGCGTCGCGCAACACCATCTGCACCCCCACGTCGCCGAGCTTCTTCTCAGAGAGAACCTCGTCGCGTCCCTCCACGACCTAACGGTCGTCGTTGCGCGCCTCCCGAGCCTCACGCATCTCCATCTGTGCGACAACAGCGTGGAGAACCTCGACGACGCGTTTTTCGCTCACCTCGCCTCGACATGTCCCAAGCTGACCGTCCTCCACGTGGGAGGGAAGATAACGCCGCGAATTATTGGTGGAGCGAACCGCGAGCATCCAATCACAGAGGCCGGGATGGATCTCTTCTTCCGCCGCTGCTCTCAGCTGCAGCAGCTCTCGCTCTACTGCCTCCGCGACGGCGCTGACTTCCCGCCGTCCTTCTTTCAACTCAAACACCTGCACACGCTCGCTCTCACCACTCCCGCAACCCTAGAAAATCCGGGGTTCAAGAACCTAACCTCCCTCACCAACCTGCATCTGGCCTTCCCGTTCCATCTGCAGCACCTATCGAGCCTGCTTGACCTCCCCATCGCGCACCTTCGTATCTTCTCCAAACATCGTAGCAACCAGCCGTCAGCTCCTTTCAGCATCGCACTGCTGCCTTTCCTGGAAACGCTCAGATTCACGAATTTAACCCCGCCATTCGACTTCATGTTTCCACAGGGATCAACTGCATGCGACCGCCTGCGGCAGGTACTTCTTACAAATTGCCCGCAGCTTACACACCTGCCCAACGACATTGGAGATCTGCTCCCTTCCCTCCGCAAGCTAGTCATCCATGGCTGCCATCGCTTCACGGAACTGCCTGAAACCTTGCCCTCTCTGACTCGTTTGGAAGTTTTGGTTATTTCCGAATCAGAGTCCTTTTTTAGAATTCCCAGCACCTGGGTTCACCTGCCAGCTCTCAAAACGCTCGTGCTCAAGTCGCTGCCTCTTGTTGCCCTCCCTAGTTCCCTCTCTCGACTCACGTCGCTCAACGCTCTAGTCCTCCACAATTGCTACCAGCTTCGCGAGCTTCCACCTGGTTTTTGCCGCCTCCCTGCTCTCAACACCCTCTGCATCGAATGCCTTCGCGATTTCACGCTTCCACACGACATTGGGCAGCTCACCAGCCTTGCCACTCTCCGTCTCATGGGCTCCCGTTCCCAGCAGCCGCTCCCAGCCTCGTTGACCGCGTTGACTGCGTTGACCAGTCTGCAAGTGCACGATTGCGCAACACCTGAGCTTCCAGATGCGCTGGGAGAGCTGGGAAACCTATCGGAGCTGAGCATATGGTCATGTCCTATCAGCGACCTTCCAGAGTCCATCACGCGGCTCACCCGCCTTGAATGCCTGGAAGTTGCTCATTGCCCACGGCTGTCACGAGTGCCCAGGGAGATGGATAGCCTCAAGAAGCTCAAGCACCTGCGCCTCGCATACTGTGAAGGACTGAGTCAGCCTCCTGCCATTCTGCCGTGCTCTCTTGAGTACCTAAGCGTGATATGGTGTAAAAACCAGCCCACCCCAGTGGCAGACGTCTCTGGGCTGTGCCAGCTGAGGGAGCTGGAGCTGCAGGTTGAAGGGGATGGGGGTCCGCAGGGGCGTGGAGAAGCAAGTTCCCCTGCCAGCGAGCTGCTGGGTGGTGGGGCGGACAGCTCACTCAGCAGCGTTGGCTCTGCACGTCCTTGTTGGAGCAGAGGTCTGTCTCGCCTGCACCGCTTGCTCCTGCACCTGGACGCCTCTGCGCTGGAGCTCCGCTTCCCCCTCACCTTCCTCCCGTCCCTGCGTCAATTAACAATATGGGGAAATGGAATCAGAAGGCTCCCGGGCAGCATGGGGGCAGCGGTGCCGCAGCTGCGGCAGGTGAGGCTGGAGCAGGTGGCATCGCTGGAGGAGGTGCCAGGCAGCATTGGGCAGCTCCGGCAACTCACAGCCCTGGACATCCAGGCACCCAGGCTGGCTTCGCTCCCTGATACCATCGGTGCGCTGTCCTCCCTGCGCACGCTCAATTTGTCTGATTGTCGAGAGCTGCAGCAGCTGCCGGCTTCTCTCACGCGCCTGGCCTGCCTGCATGATCTGAATGTATCTTCCACCTCCATCTCCGCCCTTCCTGCTGGCTTCGCACACCTCAGCAGTCTGAGGAGCCTTTCCCTGAAAGGCTGCCAGAAGCTGCAGGGTTTTCCAGAGATCTTCAGTCAGCTGCCAGCTCTGCGGTATCTGGATGTAAATGGCTGCCAGCATGACTGGCGTGACACTCAGGCCTGGTTGAGGGTGCATGGCTGTGAGAAACTCCATTGGCTGCTTCTAACGTTGTAATGGCATGTTGTGTCCTTTGACTGCTTGGTTCTGGTGGTATGCTTCGAAACGGTTACCAGTACAGTATCTCAGTTTTTGCGAATTATTGAGGGTTTTGAATGTTGACTAATTCAGGAAACTGTGAAAACTGTCTAGACAGTCAGACATGCATCAAGATTCAAGGCAGATCTATGCACGAATATCAGGTGTTTACGCATACCTGATGCTTGAACACACAAGACTTATACCCTACAAGCAATACCTGCTGCATCCATAAGCCTCTGAAGGAGTCAAAACACCGATAGAACGCCGTTAGACAAGTCAATCCACGGCATGGCATCAGCCCAGCGCCTTGAGCATCTCGAGCACCTCAGCGGCGGCGCCTGTCTCCTCGTCGAACATGTCAAACTCCACACTGCCACTGCCGCCCTCCACCGACCCACTCGCCGCCCACACCTCCACCACATCCGCCTCCTCCGCCTCCACCACCGCCGCCACCGCTGCACCCCTCTTACTGCTACTCTCCACCACCGCCACCCCTGCTGCTCCCTTGCCCTCGCCCCCACCACCGTGGGCGCGGGGCGGGGCGCGTGAGGCAGCGGGGGGGCGGAGGGGGCCCTTGAAGTAGAGGATGGCTTGGTCGAGGGCGCGCACGCGCAGGGCCAGCGCTGCCAGCGTGGCGCAGGAGGCTGCAGCGGCCGGCGAGCACCAGAAGCGCCACCCCAGGGCCAGGCGGTCGGCGCGGATGGCAAGCTCCAGCAGTATGCACGCGTGCAGCAGCTGGGGGCAAGGATTGGGGAGAGGAGAGGGGGGGTGGGGAAGGGTATGAGGTGAATGCGTGGCAAGTGATGCACGGGACTGGGAGGAATAGCTGCAGGGGAGTAAGAGTACTGTTGAAGTGATGGTATGGAGGAAGGAGCTCTGAGAGGACAGGGTGACTGGAGGAAGCAATTCACTGAACAGGCAAGCGCTTGATTTGAAGCATGAGGAAAGTAATCAGGATTGAAGAGTTGGAATGAAAAAAAGTGTGAATGAAATTCCTTCATGGATGCACACTCCAAGCGTGATCTCGGACACCCCTGTCCATTCACTGCAGCTTCTTGGGGGAAGAGGAAGTGATGGTGTGTGTGCGGAGGTGCAATAAATAAACCAAGGGAAGTAGGAGCGGTAGGGACAGCAGGGGAACAGTGGCAGGAAGAGCATGAGGAATAGCAGAGGTAAGAGGGGCAGCAGGGGCAGCGGCTCACGTGGCGCCAGTGCATGGCGTCAGCTTGCTTGACCATGGCGCGCCATGCACGGCGCCTGCCCGACCGCCCTCGCGGCCCCTCCATGGCCTCCACGCCCGCCGCCGCCTCCACGTCCAGCAGCTCGCGCTTCACCGCCGCCACCACCGCCTCCTCCCACTCAACCCCCGCCCCGCTACACCTCCCATCCTTGCCACCACTCACACCCACACCCCCGGCCCCACCCACACCCCCTCCCCCACCTATGCCTCCCAGATGGCCTGGAGCAGTAAGGGCACGCGAGGGCACGGAGGGCAGTGGGAGGGGGGGAGGCGTAGGAGGGGAAGGGAGGTGCTGGGCGGCCGGGAGGATGGCGGGTGGCTGCTGGCTGAAAGAGACGTCGCGGATGAGGAGAGCGGTTGGGTGCGGTGGAGAGGTGCTGAGGGCGCGGGAGGTGCTGCTGCTGACGTCAGGTGTGGTGGTGGCGTCGGGTGGCAGTGGCACGTGGTCCCAGTGGCTGGCCCAGGTGGGCTGAGGCACGGGGGAGGTCACATCCCCGGACAGCGCATCAGCTGTGCTGCTCTGCATGCCCCAGCCATCCACACACACACCATCCATGCCTGTCCCCTCCATGCCTGCCCCCTCCATGCCTGTCCCCTCCATGCGTGCAGCCCATACATCCATGTCAGTGCCAGGAGGCACAGTATGAGCGGGTGGAGCAGTGGCAGGTGGAGGCGCGGTGACCTCTGGGAGGGGCTGCAGGGGCGGCAGCCCGCCACACAGGGCGTGCCAGTCCTCCACGCCACTGCTGCCACTCCGCTGCCATGCACGCCCACTGCCCTCTCTGCCCCCACTGCCTGCATCACCGCCCTTCTCCATATCGCCACCCCTGGTCATGGCATCGGCAGCAAGAGGATGAGAGGCAGTGGCAGTGGCAGCACCGCTGAAAGCAGGAGCATCAGGAGCACCAGCATTGGCAGGCAGGGCAGCAGCAGGCACGGAGTGTATGAGTGCAGGCGAAGCCAGTGCAGCGGAGGCAGCAGCACCATTGCCATCAGCCGCTATCACACCTCCCGTGCGTTCCACAACTGCTGCGCGCTCCCCCCTCCTCGCTCCCTCTCCACCTTCGATAGCCTCCCCTCCTCCTCTCGCCATTCCTCTCTTCCCCCTCCCTCGCCCCTCGCCATGCTTCCGCCTCTTCCCCACGCGGCTCTGCACCAGCTGGCACCCGCTCAGCAGCTCGTCCTCGCTGCCCCGCTCCGCCCCTCGCTGCCTCTTGTGTGCCACACGCGCCTCCTCGTGCCGCTGCACCACTGTGCTGCGCGCCCCCTCGCCCACTTCACCCGCCAGCACCCTCATGCCATCACCCAGTGTCGCCATGCTGCTGCCCACCACTACCTGCCCGGTACCACCGCTGCATGCCACACCTGGGACTGCTGCTTCTGCTTCCCCGGGTGGTGACGTGGCAGCTGGTGACGTGGCCATGATGTCGCACAGCTTGAGTGCGCCAGGTGGAAAGATGCCATCAGCATCACACTGATGCCTTGTGGCTGCACGAGCTGCCACGTCAGCAGGTGGCAAGTCAGCAGTGCTGGGGGGGTCGAACACCGTCCCTGCATCTTCTTCCTCCTCCCCTGCAAACCCGTGCCACAGCCGTCCCTCCCTCTCGCCCTCGTCCATCACCCCGTCCCCACTCGCCTGCACCTTGCCGCCCACACCAAGCACTGCCCCTCCACCCATCCTGTGCCCTCCCTTCCGCTCCTCCTCTCGCTCCCCCCTCACATCCCCTCCCTTTCCTCCCCTCCCCCCACCCCGTCCGCCCCCCCTTCCCCCCCTAGAACGCAGCCTGCACGCGCGCTTGTGCCCTTCAAACTCGGCCTTGGCGCTGTAAGTCTCGTGGCAAATCACGCAGTGCCACCTGGCAGCCCACTGCAGCTCCAAGCACTCACACCGCCACACGCCCTTCCTCCCCGCACCGCCACCTGTCGCCCCCAGAGCGCCCTTGTGCGCCGCGCCTTTCTCCCCTCCTCTGTCCCTTACCTTCTCTCCCCTGCCTCCCTCCTTTCCGCCGTCCCCCTCCGCTCCCAATGGCACAGTACCATCCATCTCCACCGCTCCGAACCGTTCTTCCAGAAAGGCCATAGCTCGCAGGGAGCGGAGGCTTGGGGTGCATGGCTCGGTGAGCGGCTCGGAAGTTGGCTTAGTGGACGGCTTGGTGGGTGGTTCGGTAGAGTGTAGTGCGAGTGAGTGCAGGGGAGGCAGGGACGAGGGGGAGAGGGAGGAATGTGTGGGGAGTGCAGGGGGCGGCTGTTGTGCATGCACGGGCCTGCCGGGCTGCTGCTCACATGTTGCGTCACGCGCAGGCCCTCCCTGCTCATGTGCTAGCACCTGCTGCAGCCGGCTGTAAACCCTTGCCAGCGGGCTGCCAGGTGTTGCTGCTGCAGCCATTGAGGAGAGAAGAGCATCCACGTCAGCAGCAGCAGCAGAGGTAGACGCAGCCATTGTTTGAGCAAGCGTGTCCCTTCCTGTCCCCGTGGCACCACCCCTGTTGAGAGCAACAGCACCCCGCCACACATACCAGCGCCACTCGCCCTGCTGGCCCTCGCCCCCAACCCCCTCACAGGCTGCAGGCGCGGCAGTGAGAGCAGCGGTGGCAGAGGCGAGCAGCGCGCCGCCCACCGCCACACGGCGCGAGCACGCAGCGTGGCGGCACGGCCCCCTGCATGCCGGCCACACGCGCTCAGGGGGGTGCGCGTGGCGACGTGCGGCAGGTGAAGGGGGGTGGGGGAGGGGTGGGTGCGTGAGGGTGGAGGGTGGGGCCCCGCGAGGCCACCACACCAACACCGCTGCTGCTGCTCCCCCTGTGCTTGCTACAGCACGAGCATGGCTGGCAGCAGCGCAATCATGGCCTATGCTTCCATCACTGCTCATGGTAACCACAAAGAACAGCCGTCCGATCTCATCCGATCCGACGAACACCACAGCTCCACCGGCGTCCTGCTTCTCTCCCTGAGCGCCTCTCACCCGTGCCAGCGCAGCACTGGAGCACCACAGCGGCATACGCCCTGCCCCTCCGTCTTCCACCACCTCCTGCCGCTCCCCATCACTCTCCTCCTCACTCGCCCCATCACTCTCCTCCCTGCTCTCTTCCTTTGCGTCCTCCTCCTCTTTCTCATCTTCCATCCCTCCCTCGCCCTGATCCTTTTCTCTCTCCACCTCCTCCTCGCTTTCCCCCCCTTCCAGCTTACCCCTATCCACCGCTCCAAACCCGTCCACAGCACGATTCTGAGTCCTCCTTCTCTTGCCCCCTGTCGACCGCCTTACCCTGCCACCCCTCTTCTTCTCACTCCCTCGCACCTCCTCCACACTCTTCTCACTCTCTTCCCCATCCGCACCGTCACCCTCACCCCCATGCGCGCCATGAGCATGGGAGTCCCTTCCACGACCCAAGAGCGCATGCACCTGGTGCCGCCATCGGGGCCGCTGCGCCCGCCACGGCTGGGTGGGCCGCGGACAGCGGGGGCGAGTGCAGCCCCATGCCCGTGCTGACACCCACGCCTCCTCCTCCTCCTCCTCCTCCTCCTGCTGCTGCTGCTGCTGCTGCTGGTTGTGGCAGAAGGTCTGGTAGGCTGGCGTGTGAACGACCAGGCGACAGAGGGTGTGGAGAAGCAAGATCCTCTGCAGTCAAGACAGGATTTAGAGGCGGTCAGAGAGAGCCATAAGCAGGCAGAACCAGTCAGACAGAATCATACATGGCAGCAAGCACAATCGACCCGCCACAGCACACTCGACCCGCCACAGCACACTCGACCCGCCACAGTACACTCGACCCGCCACAGCAGGCCACAGCACTCACCAGGCTGGTGGTCATGCGGTGGTAATCGCAGCTCCTAAGGTGCCTCGCCAACACATACATTGCACTCTCCTCCCACTCCCCCTCCTCCCCACACCCCAACGCCCCCTCTCTCCCCACTCTCCCCTCCCCTACCACAATGCCCCTTGCCTCCTCCTCTCCTTCTCCCTCCTCCTCTCCCTCCTCCTCCTCGTCCCCCCTCTCCGCCTCCTCCGCCTCCTCCTCCTCTTCCTCTCCCCAGCCCATCGCCTGAGCCCTACCCCCCTGCGTGCAGAGGGGGCAGAACCAGTGGCCGGCGGGCACGTGGTTGAGGGGGGGCAGGAGGCAGTAGAGGTGGAACTCGCGGTCGCACCCGTCGCACAGCAGCACCACCCGCTCGTCCACGTCCACGCCGCACACCAGGCACCCCTCGCGCTCCCACGGGGGCAGCCCCGCTGCTGCCTCCCCGCCTGCCCCATCCCCCCGCCCCCTTCCCCCCGCCCTGTGTGGTGCGGGCGTGGGCGGGCGCGGGGGCAGCATTGGCGCCGTGGCGAACAGGCCCTGCGCGGGACAGGATGGGCCGTTGCACAGCCGGGGAGGTCGAGGGGAGGAGTGTGAAGTGGTGCGGAGTGATTGGGGGGTGCAGGAGCATTGAAGGAGGGAACGGCTAGGGCTAAGGGAGAAAGAAGAAAGAGGAAGGGAGAAAGGGAGTTGGGAAGAAAGCAGGGGACACAAGTGATGATGGGATCTGGTGGTGTGGCAAGACACGAAGCACGGCTGGCAAGGGAATGGACGAGCAAGTGATGGGGGCACCCACATGACATCTCATCGCACCACCCCCCTCTTTCCCCGCGGCCAACCCATATGGCAGGGGACGCCCACCTGGGAGGCGAGCAGCCCACCTGGGAGGCGAGCAGCCCACCTGCGAGGCGAGCAGCCCACCTGCGAGGCGAGCAGCCCACCTGGGAGGCGAGCAGCCCACCTGCGAGGCGAGCAGCCCACCTGCGAGGCGAGCAGCCCACCTGCGAGGCGAGCAGCTCACCTGGGAGGCGAGCAGCCCACCTGGGAGGCGAGCAGCCCACCTGCGAGGCGAGCAGCCCACCTGCGAGGCGAGCAGCCCACCTGCGAGGCGAGCAGCCCACCTGCGAGGCGAGCAGCTCACCTGGGAGGCGAGCAGCCCACCTGGGAGGCGAGCAGCCCACCTGGGAGGCGAGCAGCCCACCTGCGAGGCGAGCAGCTTGTCGAAAAGCGGCGCGAGGTGCAGCATGGAGAGGAAGATGGGGTGCGGCTTCCTGTACCCCACCCGCACGTTCATCCACATCTGCCGGGGGGCATGGCAGCGCAGTGCACAAAGGAGAAATGGAGGAACCACGAGGAATGGTTGCGGCGACTTTTTGTATTCCGTTCTGATCACAACTCCCTTCTGACCACAACTCTCCTCTCGTCTCCTCTCCCCCGCACTAAGTCCTCACACGTACTCGAGCTAGTTCTGACTCTCACAGTAATGTCTTCATTCGTAGGGTGACTCATGAGAGAACGTACAAGTGGCATGAATGCAAGGGCCGACTCACAGCTCACTGTATCACACTCATCCCTCTCAATCCTCCCAACCTTCTCAACCCTCCCAACCAACCCAGCCGTCTCTCAACCTGATTGACCAGCAGCAGCATCACTGAGCCACGCAATCCCATCCCATGCAGGAACGAAGGCACGAGGGGGGCAACTTTCTGCCCAGCACCTGTTTGACGTCAGCAATGAAGCACCTGTGTGACGTCAGCAATGAAGCACCTGTGTGACGTCAGCAATGAAGCACCTGTGTGACGTCAGCAACGAAGCACCTGTGTGACGTCAGCAATGAAGCACCTGTGTGACGTCAGCAATGAAGCACCTGTTTGACGTCAGCAATGAAGCCCTCAGCGGAGTGGCCATAGGCGCCCATCACCACGCGTGCATCGATGGTGCGCAGGTCGATGGGCCGCGCCACTGCATGCCGCGGCGCCCACCCCGCCCTCCGCACTTCCCCCCCCACCACTCCCCCCACCGCCGCCCCTGCCAGGGCTGACCCTGCTGTGCCGTCGCTCGCTCTCGTGCTCCCTGTGAGCGCCACCCGCGCTCCCCCATCGTGCTGTGCCACTGCCAACCCCTTCCCCACCACCCCTCTCACACCCTTCCCAGCCCCCGCCTCGCTGCCCACATGCCCTGCACTGCTGCCCAGCTTCCCTCTGCCCAACCCTGCCCATTCCCCTCCTGCATCCGGTGCGGCATGGTGCCCGCTCTCATCATCCGCGCGCCACACGGGTCCCACGGCCCAGAAGTAGGTGAAGGCGCGCAGGTGGTCAGCGCGGGCCAGCTGCCACAGCACGGCGCGGCACTGCTGCATCAGCGGCGACAGCGCCCACCCTGCTGCCGGCACTGCTGCTGCTCCCCCCGCCAGGCCGCTGCGCCCTGCCAGCCCTGCTGCCGTGCCTGCCCCCGACTCTGCTGCGGGGTGACTCCCGCCCCCCTCACCTGTGTGCCACTTGCCCTGTGCTCGGGAGCCCCCATCACCGCCACTTTCTGCCCCACCTCTCCCCACAGCCGTCCCACCATCCTTCTCTCTCGCCGTGCCCTTGCTGTCAGCAGCGCCATCGCCCCTCGCTGCTCCTCCTGCATTGCGCTCCACCTTGGGCCCACTCCACGCAGCAGCAGTGGCACGCGCAGAGGCAGAGGGAGCAGCAGCGGGCGGGGCAGCGGGTGGGGCAGCGGGGGGGGCAGCGGCAGCGGAGGGGTGGAGGGCGAGGAACTTGTCCATCACCTCGATGGCCGCTCGCTGCCATGCCATGACCAGGGGTTTGGGGGGATGGGGGGGTGGGGGGTTGGGGGGGGATGGGGGAAGGGGTCATGGGGGAGGACTGAGAAGAGGTGAAGATAGAAGGGTTACGTTACGGAAAAGAGTCGGCTTTGACTCACCTTAATGGGCTTTAACTCACCTTAGTTGGCATTAACTCACCTTATGCTTTAACTCACCTTGGGCTTTAAATCACCTTTAACTCAGCATTAACTCACCTTAGACGGCTTTAACTCACCTTAGTGGGCCCTGATGCGTTCCCCTTGTACACCTCCTTGCTGATGGCCCACTGCAGCCGCTCCACCGCCCAATCAGGCGGCGCCACGTGGCAGTCGAGGGCGGCGCGGATGCAGTTGCGGATGCGCGCGCCGACGTTGGTCTGCATCTTGCGGATCGGCTCCAGCAGTGCCACCCACTGGGGGGGGCATGCATGGCCACCTGCTGCCGGGCGCATGCATGCATGGGGCACATGGCGCACATGGCATGGAGCAACCCAGGAGGAGCGTGGTGGTTTGGGTGAGAGAGGCACGAGTGTGGAGGCAGTAAAGAGATGGGCGCCCTGCACACAACACATTAGCAATTCCATGCACCCATCCATCCCCATACACACACCCCATGCACAGCACCCATGCGCGCACCACAGCACCCATGCGCGCAGCACAGCACCCATGCGCGCACCACAGCACCCATGCGCGCAGCACAGCACCCATGCGCGCAGCACAGCCCCCATGCGCGCAGCACAGCACCCATGCGCGCAGCACAGCCATGCGCGCAGCACAGCCATGCGCGCAGCACAGCCATGCGCGCAGCACAGCACCCATGCGCGCAGCACAGCCATGCGCGCAGCACAGCAGCCATGCGCGCAGCACAGCCATGCGCGCAGCACAGCCATGCGCGCAGCACAGCCATGCGCGCAGCACAGCCATGCGCGCAGCACAGCCCCCATGCGCGCAGCACAGCCCCCATGCGCGCAGCACAGCCCCCATGCGCGCAGCACAGCCCCCATGCGCGCACCACAGCCCCCATGCGCGCACCACAGCCCCCATGCGCGCAGCACAGCACCCATGCGCGCAGCACAGCCATGCGCGCAGCACAGCCATGCGCGCAGCACAGCCATGCGCGCAGCACAGCACCCATGCGCGCAGCACAGCCATGCGCGCAGCACAGCAGCCATGCGCGCAGCACAGCCATGCGCGCAGCACAGCCATGCGCGCAGCACAGCCATGCGCGCAGCACAGCCATGCGCGCAGCACAGCCATGCGCGCAGCACAGCCCCCATGCGCGCAGCACAGCCCCCATGCGCGCAGCACAGCCCCCATGCGCGCAGCACAGCCCCCATGCGCGCACCACAGCCCCCATGCGCGCACCACAGCCCCCATGCGCGCACCACAGCCCCCATGCGCGCACCACAGCCCCCATGCGCGCACCAGCTGCTGCATCTGCCGCACTGCCTGCGCCCAGCCCGGCTGCTGCCCACTCTCCAGCAGCGGCGCCACCAGAAAGCCCCCCAGCAGCACGGTCAGCACCGCTCGGACCTTCACTGCCCGCTTCCTCCTTCACCCCCAGCGGCTGGGCCACAGCGGCACTCACAGCACGCCTCACGCTGCTGTCACTATCCTCTGCTGCTGCGTCCGTCCGTCCCTGCTCTTCACCCGCTGTCCCTGACGCTGCTCCTGCAGCCGCCCCCTTTGCTGCCTTGCCCTTGCCTGCGCCACTGACCAGCCCTCCTGCCGCCATGCCTGCAGGTACAGCAGTGGCAGCAGCAGCGGCCGTGGTGGCGGCGGTGCCATGCAGCTGGGACGCCGCCACCAGCGCAAGCTGCTTCTCCGCTGCCGCCAGCGCCTGCCACGCCACACCGCACACGGACACACGGGCACACGGGCACATGGGCACACGGGCACACGGGCACACGGGCACATTCAGGAACTAATTTACAGCCACACAAGGTGGTTGGTCAGGTCAGCATGCTTTGGCGATGTCACTGGTGTGAGTGAGCGACCGAATCGAATGACCATACCTTCTTTTCATTATAACATGCTGTTCACCTGCTTACACTTGACAAGCCACCCTGCTTCTATATTGAGAAAGGCACTGAAACAGTGGAGCGCACTCACAGCAGCGTCGTGCACTCACAGCAGCGTCGTGCACTCACAGCAGCGTCGTGCACTCACAGCAGCGTCGTGCACTCACAGCAGCGTCCTGCAGGGCGCCAGGGGTGCCGAGCCAGTGCCCCAGCAGCGGCCCGCCATCGCCAGCGATGCACCGTGTCAGCCGCCCCACCTCCCATGGGCTGCGCCCGCACACCCCTCCCTGCCCCCCTGCTGCCCCCACCCCTCGCCTGCCGTCCGCCCTGCCGCTGCTTTGGCCGACCTCCTCCTCTTCCCCATTCGCCTTGTCCCTTTTGCCTGCCCCCCCCTTTCGCCTCCCCCCTCCCCTCGTCCCTCTCCTCCCCTCTCTTCCATCCCCTCCATGTGCCCTCCGCTCCTTCCTCTCTTCCTGCAGCAATGCAGTGTTCACGGCAAGCACCCTACATGCCACCTCAGGCCACGTCAGCTCATCAATGGGACACATCAGCAGGTCGGAGCTGGCATCAGTCACAGCAGCAGCACTCAACCCTGTTTGCTCGCGTGTGAGGGAAGCAGGAGAACCCATGGCAGCAGCGGCAGCAGAGGTGCCACTATTACCACCACTCACAGCACCAACCCTCGCTTCAGTTTCGGTGGCTTCCCTCTCCTTGCCTCTGCCGTCCCTCTCCGGCGCGCCGATCACCTCGTGTGCGGCAACAGCAGCCATGGAGGCGGGCAGCAGCACGTGCAGCAGCGCCACGTGCACGCGGGACAGCAGCGCCCACGCACCATCCTGGGCAGCACTGGCGGCGCTGCGTGCGCTCGCTGCACCAGCTGACGCGGGTGGATGGGCGGACGGGTGGGCCAGGTGGTGGGCGAGGGCGGGGAGGGAGAGTGCGGGCAGAGGGGGGGAGTGGGGGGAGGGCGGCAGAGGGCAGGGCAGGAAGGAGTGCAGCACGTGGTGCACCTGCATGGGGTGGACGGGCAAGGCACGCGGTAGGAGGATGAGAGAGGAAGGGGAGTTGGAAAAGAGGTGGAGGGGCACAGGGACGAATGACAGAGGACGAATGACACAGGTGATTCCATGATGCGTTGCGATGGGCAGAGGGCGGAGTCATGCTTGCTTGCTGCATACACGCCAGAAGAGAGGCAGCAGGGACGAGAGGGGCACAGGGAGGGGCAGGGCGCACCTCAATGAGGCGCAGCATGTCAGCGCGGGACAGCCCCACCAGTGCTGGCAGCGCCTCATCCACACCCTTTCCCACCGCCGCCCCCCCTCTCCTCCCATCCGCCCCCTCGCACGTGCCCAGCCTGTCCGCCCCATGAACCCGGTCCCCACCGCCCCACCCTGCACCTCCTCCCCCGTCCCCCTCGCGCCCTTCACTCGCCCCAGCCTGGACCTCACCCACTTGCCCTCCGCTTGCCATCCCCAACCCCTCCTTTATTCCCCCCCCCTCTTGCCCCTGCCCCTCTTCCCCCTCCCTCCCTTGCCGCTTCCCCTCGTGCTGCTCTGCCTGCTGCGCATGCCCCCCCCTCGCCTGCCTCTCTTGCTCCCTCTGCGCCTGCTCCTTCCACCACCGCTCCTCCCTGAACTCGTACCCTGTGCACCGCTCTGCACCGCTCTGTCCCTCTATGAGGGCGAGCAGGGGCGGGTGGGAGAGCCCGTACTTGTCTAGCAGCAGCAGCGATCGCACCCGATGCTCCTCCCACCCTGCATACTCTGCTCCCACTCCCTCCCCTTGCCCCCTTTCTTTTACGGCCCCCACGCCCCCCTCACCCGCCACGCCTACATTGAAACCACTCCTTCCATCCACCACCTGCCCTCCTGCCTGCTGTCCACTCTCCTCGCCACGCTCCCCCCTCGCCTCCGCCGTGCCGTGCCCAGCCCTCCCCATCCATGTCGCACCCAGCTGCTCCCACCACTCCCTTCCAAACCTCTCCCAAGCCTGCTGACTCGTTTGCCCTTCACACACCATCTGAACCTTACATTCAGGCTTGGAGCCCCCAAACAGATGTGAACCTCCCCTCACACTCTTCCCACCAACCCCCCCGCCCCCTTCCCCCCCATGCACCTCCCGCGCATGCTCTCTTTCCGCCAGTGAGTCACCCGCTGCCCGCCATCCGCCCACGACCGCAGGCCCCAAGCCATCCCACAGCAGCGCCTGCACCTCCTCCTCCATCGCCCCCTCCCCGTCATCACTTTCACACTCTCGCTCTCCCGCACACAACCCCTCTCCGCCTCCTCCACCCATATCCCCTTCCCGCCTGCCCCCCTCCCTCCAAACTCGGAAAACCGGCCCGTCACTCCCGCCCTCCTCCCCACCCGCCCCCACCCCATGCCGTGGCCCGTGGCCGTCGCTGCCGCCATGCCCGTCCACCACCTCGCTGTGGCACAGCCCGCCTAAAGGGTCCTCCCACACTGCATGATACCCACGTGGCCAGATTTCACTGGCGGAGTGGTATGCAGGGCGGGTGTCCACGTGGCCAACGCACAACAACCGAATGGTGATTGTAACGGGGTGCTGGGACGAGAACGGGGTGGCGCTGTGGATTGAGGGCGGGCGGGACGAGTTGTCTGGATGCGGAATGGTCAGGGTGAAGTCTCTGGGAAGAATCACCTGCGCACCATGTTCAGCACCCGCCACGTCAGCACAGCAACGCACGTTTGGCAAGCAGAGGGGCGTGTCGGTAACAACTCCTCACCTGTTCTGCCGCCCGTCTTGCCTCAGCGGCAGCCACGTGGCGCAGCTGCGCGAGCATGCCGCCCAGCGACGAGTCCATGATTGGCAATAAACAACTGCGAGGTCGGCGCGGCGAGGATGGGTTGAAGGCGGTTGCTCGCTCCGTGGCGCGCATTCCAAAAGACGAGGGGCTTCAGGGAGTATTCGTGGGCTCGCTCCGTCCAAGCCTTTCGTTCCTGGCGGATGAAACCTGCATAGTTGCGGAGGAGTGGCTTATTTTCATGGCGAGGCGCGAGTTCCAAAGTTGCGCAACCATCCAGCGCGGCAAACCAGGTGCTGTTCTCGGGGGCTTTCATCGCTGCTCTGGGAAATCTGGGAAACAAACGTCGCTGTTCGCATCGCTGGCCAATCTCCAAGTCAGCCCGCGGTGCTGCTGGGAGGCAGTGGAAACCCTACCGCATACTTGCTTTGATCGTCGCGGCCCTCCAGCCGACACCGCGCGCTCACCTCAACTGCTCGGTTGACGCGCACGTCGTCTTCCTTCCGCTCAGTGATCCAGCAGGGCAGGTCGCGCCATGCTGCTGCTTTTTACCGTGATCGTAACCTCCGTGTGCTGTCTTCCGCGGCGGGTCCTACCCAAGTCGGATCAATTCGCGCCGCTGGGGTAACCGCGTCACAGTTCGAAACATGGTCGATTCACGCAATTGAACGCCAGGCAGGGATAGTGCTGGCCGACACAAACTTCACACACTACTGGTTTTCGCACACGAATGAAAAGTCCCCTGCTGGTTGTCCGGACGAGGTGCAGCCCGGGCTGGATCGCTGCGATCTACCTCGATTTCTCATTTCGAAGAAGTCCGTTTCATCCGATCATGCCGAACCATAACAATCCAAACCGATTCGGTTGGTTCTCCACAAACCATAACAAACCAGCTCGATCGATTTAGAGTCCAGGCCGACGCTTTCAAACCCTCGGCTGTCAAGCTGGACGAGCGAGCATGCTTGACGGGCTGGAAGCACCATCAAATCTACATTTCCCCACCCACCAAGCACAACTCCTCTACGATGCTGCGTGGAATCTTGAACTTGAAAGCATCACGAGCTGCGCAGGTTTGGTTAGGACAGCTGATCTCCCTGCGACCGAGTTCCAGCCCTGTGACGTGCCGACGGGCCGTGCGGACAGTACGGTGGCACGGTGGAGCAGCGTCAGCGCACTGCCATGCGGGGCATTCAGTTCAGGCATGCTGCCACCCTCTTTTCACGCGCCCATACACAACGAAACAATAAGCGGTTGTTTGTCAGCCTCGCCGTCTAGTGGACAGGGCAAAATTCCGTCAGTCGAGCCCGGCGTGTTGAGTTTGACGTCCGTCACGAGCGGCCTCGTCGCATGCCGACCGCCGTCGTATCCTCGTCGCCGCGTCGCCTCTCACCCCCTCTCGCTCGGAGCGTCGTGGCGCTGGCGGCGTTTCTGCTGCTTCTCGCGGCCCCCAGCAGCGCGCCCCCTCCGCACGATGGTGAGTTGGCGGCTGCCGGGCTGGCTTGAAGGTAGTGGCGATGAGCTTCGCTCCAACCACTGGCTGTCGTCGTCGTCACCCGCGCTCACTCATCACCATCGCCTCTCGCGCTCACTCCCCTTCCACCCGCATGTCACGCACACCGTCTCCGTCCCTTCGCTCACGCCTCTTCGCTCATGCCTCTTCGCTCATGCCTCTTCGCTCATGCCTCTTCGCTCAGACCAGCGCCAGCAGCGCCAGCAGCGCCAGCAGCAGTACATCGTGGAGCTGCGCGGCGCGCCCCTCGCCACGTACCGCGGACACCTCCCCGGCTTCCCCGCCACCGCGCCCAGGGACGAGGGGACCGACCCCCACTCCGCCTCCCCCCTCCCCCCGTCTCAGGGCGAACCGCCCCACAGCGAGCAGCAGCAGCAGCAGCAAGGGCGGCAGCGGCGGCGGGGAATAGACATGAGGGCGGGGCACGTGAGGGCGCTGAGGCGGGCGCTGCAGCGGCAGCAGGAGCAGGTGGCGGCGGACGCGGGGGTGGCACCGGCTGCCGTGCTGCAGCACCTGCACACCGTCGCCCACGCGTTCGCCGCTGCTCTGTCCCCGCGGCAGGTGTGGCGCCTCAAGAGGCACCCCGCGGTGGCGTCGGTGCGGGCCGGCCGTGTGTTCCAAGCGCCCCACGCCCCCACCGCGCCGCTGTGGCGTGCTCGCCCCACGCGTGGCTGGAATGCATCTGGCGCCACGGCCTCTGAGCCGCGCTCGTACGATGCGGACGCGGCGTCGTTCATGGGCCTGCCCGGGTCGCTGTGGCAGCAGGCGGGCGGGCAGAGCAGCGCGGGCACGGATGTGGTGGTGGGGGTGGTGGGGTCGGGCATCTGGCCCGAGCACCCCGCATTCGATGCCTCCGTGGGTGCCTCTCTCTCCCTTGCGCGCACACTCTCTCTTTCTCCATGTCATACACACTCTTAGGTCGTATCTCTGATTCGGGTCATGCACTGTTTGGGTCATCCGAGATTCTTGGAGGACCAATCAGGCGCATACATGCACACTTATTCACGCCCTGCTTCAACCTAACTCTGGCCTGCTCCGCTATTCGCCTCTCATGCCCCCCAGCAGGCGTTCAGCGGTGTGCCAGCAGGGTGGCAGGGCGCGTGCGACACAACGCCCGACTTCTCGTGCAGTGGGAAGGTCATCGGCGCGCGGCGGCTGTACGCAGCGAACCAGCAGAGCACTGGCGGGCCGGACTTCAGCGCCGAGTATGACTCGCCACGTGACATGGATGGCCGCGGCACGTGGAGCGCAGCGTGAGTGCCCGAGGGGTGAGTGCCCGAGGGGTGAGTGCACGAGGGGTGAGTGCACGAGGGGTGAGTGCACGAGGGGTGAGTGCACGAGGGGTGAGTGCACGAGGGGTGAGTGCACGAGGGGTGAGTGCACGAGGGGTGAGCGCACGAGGGGTGAGTGCACGAGGGGTGAGTGCACGAGGGGTGAGTGCACGAGGGGTGAGTGCACGAGGGGTGACTGCAAGGTTGGGAACAAGTGGCCTTTCCTTTTTGTTGTAGAAACCAGATTCACTCCCTCTTTCCTGCCCTTGCTCCCTCGTTTCCTTCTCTCCTCTCCTCACGCCCTCCCCCTTTAATTCCCCCGACACCCCGCCATCAGAGCAGCGGTGGGCAACGCAGTGACGTGGGCGGACGGGGCGAGGACGAGCGGCATGGCGCCAGGGGCGAGGGTGGCGGTGTACAAGGCGGTGTGGGCGGGGTACGGGTTTGAGGCGGACGTGCTGGCGGGCGTGGACCAGGCCGTGGCGGACGGCGTGCACGTGCTCTCCCTCTCTGTGGGCGCCTTCAAGGCCTCCCAGGCCAACTACTTCACTGACGCCCCCTTCCTGCGCGCCCATGCTGTGAGCAAGCCAGGGAGGAGAGGGGGCGCAGGGAGGGTGCACTCCGCAGAGAGGGAGGCGAGTTCAGTGGACGTTGATTGTCTTTACTGGGAAGGGAGGATTGGTGGGCGGTGTGGGTGACTAAGAGGAGTGAATGCCGCATTGTATACTCATACATGAAGGCTTGCTACCGGTGTCGTGACATGTAGAAATTCAGCCACCCACCTTACTGCTTCACTTCCTCGCAGCCTGGCTGTTTGACAGCTTGATCGGTGTGTGCATGCTTGTGCGTGCGTGGGTGTGTGTGTGTGTGTGTGTGTGTGTGTGTGTGTGCATGTGTGTGTGTGTGTGTGTGTGTGTGTGTCTGTGTGTGTGTGTGTGTGTGTGTGTGCGTGCATGTGTGCCTGTGTGGAGTGCAGGCAGGCGTGGTGGTGGTGATGGCGGCGGGTGACTGGGGGCAGCCCAACTTCTGGCGGCTGCTGGGGGCGTACATACGAGTCATCGACAACTTCTCACCCTTCTACCTCACTGTGGGCGCCAGGTGGGCTCACTGTGGGCGCCAGGTGAGCTCACTGTGGGCGCCAGGTGGGCTCACTGTGGGCGCCAGGTGGGCTCACTGTGGGCGCCAGGTGGGCTCACTGTGGGCGCCAGGTGGGCTCACTGTGGGCGCCAGGTGGGCTCACTGTGGGCGCCAGGTGGGCTCACTGTGGGCGCCAGGTGGGCTCACTGTGGGCGCCAGGTGGGCTCACTGTGGGCGCCAGGTGGGCTCACTGTGGGCGCCAGGTGGGCTCACTGTGGGCTCACTGTGGGCGCCAGGTGGGCTCACTGTGGGCACCAGGTGCCCTTCCATTCGCCCAACTCGTGTGTGGTTGTTGTGTGGTTGAATCGCAACCCCTTTGCTAGCATGCAGTGGCATGAATCCTGTTTTCGTCGTCGATGTGCTTCCCATTCTTTGCTTGCACGTGCCACCATGCGTCTCCCCTCACCCCTCTTTGCAGTATCTCACAGGTTACCTTCCGATCCTTCATGTGCATTCCTCCCGTTCGTCACCCACCTCGCCACCCTACGTCGCCATCACATGCTGCCGTCCCATGCATCACATGCTACCATCCCATGCATCACAGCACGATTGCAGGGCAAGGGCGGTTGTCAGCTGTGGCCTCTGCAAGCTACACCAGCACAGCCTTGACACCTGCTGCCAGCAATGCCAGGTGAGTGCATTCGATGCTGTGATGCAGCAAGCTTGTTCATGTTCATGTTCCTGGCTCCGTTTCTTGTTCTCTTTGCCTCTCTCCAATTGTCCCGCAGGCACTTCTCTTCTCCTCCCCTTCCCCAGTCATTGATCCTTAGTTTTGATTCTCCAATCGTCCTGAACACAACTCTTACACACACATCTTGCCATGAGTGCACCCACTTCTTATCCCATCATCACACCCCGCCGTCTGTGCGTCTGTCCATTCCACCCGCCAATTCCAGTGACTTCAACGCCACGGCACCGCAATCATGGGTATCAGCAGCAGAAGCACAGCCAGCCGCCACAGCAGCGGCCACAGTGGCGGCCTTCTCCTCATCGGGCCCGCTGGTGTGGCCGTGGTACCGCGTGCGCCCGCCCTTCCCCACCAACTCTCTGCTCAAGCCCGACCTCATCGCGCCTGGTGTGGACCTCTGGTCCGCCGCCCCCGCCGCCACCATCGGCGCCCCTGGGGACCGCATCAACCGCACCGGCACATACCTAGCAGCACCGCTCGTGGCGGGCATTGCGGCGGTGCTCGTGCAGCTGCGCCCCTCATGGTCGCCCGCGCAGGTGATGTCAGCGCTCATGACGTCCGCTCGCACCACCACGGCGGGCGGTGCACCCGTGCGCACGGCGGCGGGCAGGAAGGCCACGCCGTGGCAGATGGGGTGTGGGGTGGTGCAGGCAGCGGGCGCGGCGGACCCCGGGCTGACCTTCGACGCCAGCGAGCGCCATTTCCGCAACTTCCTCGCCGGGCAGAGCTGGTTCCGCGCGCGCAGGCTCTTCCCCGCCGCCTCTCTCGCCCGCCTGCCGCCGCGCAACCTGAACCGGGCATCCATCGCACTGGGGCGTGCCAAGGGCGTGACCATCATCCTGCGCACCGTCACGAGCGTGGCGGCCGTGCCGTCCACTTACACGGCCACCGTGGTCAACCCCTGGGGTGTCGTGCTCACCGTGACGCCACGGCGATTCACGATTGCACCGGGCGAGAGTGTGACGTACAGGGTGGTGGTGCGCGTGGTGGGCAAGTCGATGAATTTCTTCTACGGCAGCATCACGTGGCGCGACGAGGTGGGCCATGTGGTGCGCTCGCCCGTGGTGGTGCAGCCGCAGCGCCTGCTCAAGTGGTGCATCGGGTGCACCAAGGGTGGTGTCATCAAGTGGCCTGGCGGGCCGCCATAACAGCCCTAGCAGTCCAGGAACAGATATACGAATGCAATACTCAGACATGAGGAGAGGAACGCCTGGGGTTTATACATACGGTTATGAAAAGATAGCCCTTTCCCAGATACCTAACCCTATAATCTCTTAGGAGAAAATCCCCTTGTATATTGTAGGGTTTGAATAGCATTTGGTGCATGATACCACCCAATACACATTCGCACATACTCAGTGCGGAGCCTCAGGACCTGGTTGCATTGCATTTGCACACCTCAAATCACGGCAACTCAGCAGAGTCGAGATTCAAGAAGAGGCCTGTTGAGATAATTTCTTTGTGTGAGCTGAGCTGTTTCTGGCTTGTGTGCTGGCATGGTTGTCTTGACTGCCAGCTTCAAGTGGCGGCTGTGAGCCATCCCACCCCACATGCACCCACCTTCACACCTGCACCTCTGCCACCACCTGGCAACTGCGCATTAGTGATGCTGCTTTCTTGCCGCTTTGCCTTGCCGCCTTCCTGCCTCGCTACTGTTCAATTCCCCTACCACCAGACCACACGAGCCAACCATCGCCCCACCGCACCGTACCGCACCACACCGGTCTTCTTCCCTCACCCGCCGCGGGTCTTGAACTTGGCGCGGGGCGACTGCCGGGCCTCCTGGGCGAGGAGGGCGAGGGACTGGTCGCGCACCCACCAGTCGAGCTGCTCGCCGGGGCGCACGCTCTTGATGCAGAACTTGCGCTCGTCGTCCAGCAGGCCCTGGAAATGGTTGAAGCGCGCCACGTCCGTGTCCACGTCGATGCCGCCCATGCGCGGCACCTCCACGCGGTGGATCTGCACCGCCATCACCTGCCGCGGGTCCGCCACCACGCGCCGGAACCCGTGGTAGTCCAGGCACAGCTCCCACCGCGGGTACGCCTCCTTGTTCGTGCAGTAGATGTGCGGCCAGCGGAACAGCATGCGCTCCAGCGCCCACGGCTGCTCCACCGCAGCCTTCTCCGCCCCCTCCGTCACCTGCACGCCGCCCTCCCCCGCGCCGCCCTCCGCTATCCCCCCCACGTCGCGCGCCTCGTCGCCCGAGTTCTGCCCCTCGATCATGGCGGCGCCGCGCACCACGATGCGCTCGGTGAGAGAGGAGAAGGTGCACTTCTCAAACGACCACCAGCGGCTGCCCAGCGTGACGTAGGGGCGGCCGTCGAAGGCGTTGACGGTGGCGAGCAGGGTCTCGCCCTTGGCGGCGGAGAAGAACTCGGTCATCTCCGCGAAGAACACCCACTTGGAGGAGAAGCGGTGGCGCTGCACGCAGTCGTTGAGCACCATGAGGCGGCCGCGCTCCCACGCCTCGTACGCCGTGATCTGGCGCACGTCCACGACCTCCACCAGCCCCTGCTCCGTGTAGCTCTCCAGCATGGTCATCAGCGCCGCGCCGATGGCGCCCGCGTCGTACAGCACGAGGCGGTCCACGCCGCTGTGCAGGTGGAACTCCATCCACTCGTACATGCGCCGCGGGATGATCTTCCCCGCCAGCGGCGGCGAGCAGTACGTGAGCTGGTACTTGAAGGGCGCCTTGGGCGTGGCGCACGGCAACTGCTTGGCCTCCTCCATGTACGCCACCACGTCCTCCTTGTCCACCGTGGCCAGCAGCAGCCCGCCGTAGTCCGCCTCCGTGCTCTCCTCCAGCTCGCACACCAGCACCACCGCCTCGTACCGCAGGTTGTGATGCTCGCCCGGGTAGAACGCTGCATGCAGAGGGGCATGCGGGGCATGTATGGTGGGACGGCATGCAGGGCATGTATGGTGGGTCGCGTGCAACAAAGGCAGGAGGCAGCCACGTAACCCAGACATCCCCAACACAACCATGAATGATGCATCACGCAGTCAACATAGACCAGCAAAAAGTGCCATACATCCTAAACCTAAACATCCCACATGCCACGGATGTGGGCCGCAATCGCATGCACCACCTTCCATCCTCTCTCAGCCATGGCTGCACCCAGCAGCTGTGAGTGGGCAGCAGCTGTGAGTGGGCAGCAGCTTTGAGTGGGCAGCAGCTGTGAGTGGGCAGCAGCTGTGAGTGGGCAGCAGCTGTGAGTGGGCAGCAGCTGTGAGTGGGCAGCAGCTGTGAGTGGGCAGCAGCTGTGAGTGGGCAGCACCTGTGAGTGGGCAGCACCTGTGAGAGTGCCTCACCTGTGAGAGTGCCTCACCTGTGAGAGTGCCTCACCTGTGAGAGTGCCTCACCTGTGAGAGTGCCTCACCTGTGAGAGTGCCTCACCTGTGAGAGTGCCTCACCTGTGAGGGTGCCTGTCACCTGTGAGGGTGCCTGTCACCTGTGAGGGTGCCGGTGACGCGGTGGCCACCGTTCTTCTCCTTCCACACGCACTTGCCCAGCTTGCGCGAGTCGCGCAGGGCGCGCCCAGCCAGCCCCACGATGGCGAACTTCACGGCGTTCATGCGGTACGACGCGAAGTGCACCAGCCCGTACACGGGCGCGTGCTCGCGGAACCGGTAGTTGCGCGTGGCCTCGCGCGCCTCCACGGCGTCGGGGTTCGCCTTGAAGATGCTGATCAGGTTCTTCTTCTGCCCGCCGCCCAGCCCAAACCGGCTCAGCCCCATGGACAGCAGCCCTCCCACCGCCCCCCCTCCTGCTCCACTTGCGCCCTTCCCTGCCGCTGTGCCTGCCGCCGTGCCAGGCACCGCCACTGCTCCCGTCGCCCGCCCCGCTCCTTGCAGCAATTGCCTGCCCGCCGCCTCCCCCGCTTTCGCCCCACCCCCCCCCGCCCCTCCTCCGCCCCCGCCTGCCCCCACTGCCCCGGCTGTCCCCCCTCCCAACCCCGCACCGTTCTCCGCCTGCACCCCACCCGCCGCCCCCCCTGTTGCTGCTGCGCGCTCCGCCCCTCCTGCTGCAGCGGAGGGGGTGGCGAGGCCACCGGGCGGGGGGGCGGGGGCGGGGGCGCGCATGAGCACGATCACGAGCAGCAGAGCCGCAATCACCAGGTACGGCAGGTTCTGCCGCAGCGCCGCCGCCACGTGGTAGTACCGCGCGCTGCCGCCGCGCCGCTTCTGCCGTGCCGCCATCGGCCCCCCCATCGTCCCCCCCATGGCCATCGTGTCGCCCAGTGGCGGCGACCCGAAGAACGGCGGCCCGCCGGCCGCGGCATTGGGGCGGTACCGAGGTGGGGAGGATGTTGACGTCATCATCCCCGCTACAGAGTCGTTCGATAAACGAATAAGGTTTCCCCCACTACCGTTGCCTGCCAATCGGTTCAAGCTTCCGCCGCTGCCGCTGGCGGTCATCGTGGCGCCATCCGGACCGCCCATTTCCCTGTCGCGGAACGCACCAGCGCCGCCCATCTCGCGGTACCCAGGCGGCGCCGCGTCTCTCATGCCCATGCCCAGCCCCGCGCCGCCCGGCTCCCTGTAACTCCCTCCGCTGCGGAACCCCCCCCCGTCCCGCAGCGGCGCTCCCTGGAGGTCCTCGTCCCTCGGCGCTCCGCTCATACCCCCTCCTGGCGCACCCATGGCGCGCGGAGCTGGGTCGCGGAACCCGCCCATGCCGGGTCCGCGAATGGCGCAGTGGCGCGCGGGTGATAAACACCGGTGGAAGGAAGGACGTGGCGCGCGGATGGATTTTATTCGAGTTTCTGTTGACAGGTGAAGAGGGACGCGAAGATAGAACGGCTAGGGTGACAACCTATGAATGAAACAATGAACCACTACGACCAGTTTTCCGACGCTAAGGGCATGTTGCATTTTTTACTCCAGCCTCTCTATGTGTTACGGTATGTGTTACAAAAGAAGAGTGCGCAGAATGCAATACAGCAGAAGTGAATACAACTACTGAGCAAACAGCGAGGCCTAGGCATAATATAGCAAAGCTAGCTAGGCCGAGGTCGCGGAGTCGCGAGATGGCTGGGTGCAGGTTTGGGGTTGGGAAACCCGAAGGCGACGCGAGGGACGTTCGGAAGGCGAGGTCGGCGGACCGAGCCTGAACTCCGAAAAGTTGGAATTGTACGCGTACGGAACAGGGCCTATATTATTGTCAAATGTTGTAGCCTATAGTGAGGTTTGTCTTAGGGGGTACAAAACTTAGGGTTAGCTATATGTACCCCAACCAACATCAATGCATCATCCATTCCTCATTCTGACATGGTATCAGTTAGGTTAGGATCCTGTGGGATCCCGTTCCTCCGTTCTCCGTTCGTATCTCCCGAGCCTGATCCTACCTCTCGTTCGTACCGGTTCCGTTGTTACCGCGCCTAGCGCCCTTCCCCCCGTCGCCTAGCGCCCTTTCCCCCCCGTCACGTCGCGCCCTTTTCCCCCGTTGCGTCGCGCCCGTTCCCCCCCGTCGAGTCGCGCCCTTTCCCCCCGTCGCGTCGCGCTCTTTCCCCCCGTCGCGTCGCGCCCTTTCCCACCGTCGCGTCGCGCCCTTTCCCCCCGTCACGTCGCCCTGCCCCGTCCCGTTGCCCCTGCCCCGTCCCGTCGCCCTGCCCCGTCCCGTCCCGTCGCCCCGTCCCGTCCCGTCGCCCCTGCCCCGTCCCGTCCCCGTCCCGTCCCGTCGCCCTGCCCCGTCCCGTCCCGTCCCGTCCCGTCCCGTCCTGCGGCCCTGCCCCGTCCCGTCCCGTCGCCCCGTCCCGTCCCGTCGCCCCTGCCCCGTCCCGTCCCCGTCCCGTCCCGTCGCCCTGCCCCGTCCCGTCGCCCCGTCTCGTCTCCCTACCCCGTCGCGTCGCCCTCCCCCGTCGCATCGCCCTGCCCCGTCGCATCGTGCCCGCCCTTTCCCCCGTCCCGTCGACCCTACGCCCTGGCCCGTCGCTCTAGCCCGCTCTTCCGCTGCGACTAAGTCCCACCTGAACCCTAATTTGCCTCTTACCTCCTGCTGTTACTCGCCTGCTCGTTCGCGTTAGTTTTCGCTATGGCGACTCCGCGAGTTCTTCGTTTCGACGCTGACGGCAGACCTCTTGACTTTTCCGTCTGGCTCCTTCGCGCTCGCCGTCTGTTAGAGAGTCAAGTCCAGGGGGGCGAGACC